CCCCCCATCAACGAGTCAGGAAAGTCGAGACCCGATCCTGGCCGTAACACGGTAAACCCCGTCCTCTACCCTACAATTAACCAAAAAACTCCAGCCGGGCGAGGTGGCCGGCGCCTGAAGTCCAGCCTCCCGGGAGGCTGGAGGCCCGGAGAAGGCGGAACCCAGAGGCGAGCTGCAAGTGAGCTTGAGATCCGGGCCACCGCCACTCCACCACCTGGGCGGCAGAGCCGAGACTCCGCCTCAAAAAAAAAAAAAAAAAAAAAAAAAAAAAAAAACGAAAAATTAGCCAAGTGTGTGGTGGTGCCTGTAGTCCCAGCCTCCTCGGGAAAGGACTGAGGCAGGAACTGGCAATGAACCTGGGAGGTGGTGCTTGCAGTGAGCTGAGATGCAACCAAAACTGCAAACTCCAGCCCTGGCGACCAGAGCAAGACCTCTCCTCCAAAAAAAAAAAAAAAAGGCACCCAGAGTGGTGGTGGGCGCCTGTGGTCCCAGCGACTCTGGAGGCTGAGGCAGAATTGCTTGAGCCCAGGAGGTGGAGGCTGCAGTGAACCACAATCGCATCATGCACTCATGCACTCCAGCCTGGGCAACTGGGCAAGACCCTGACTCTAAAGATGAAAAAACAAAAAAAACCATAAGCCCATGTTCACTAGCAGCATTACTCAAAAGATGGAAGCAACTCAAATATCCAAACACGCGTGAGTGAACGCACTGTGGCTCATCCACAGTGGAACATGATTCAGCCTGAAAAAGGAAGGAAACCGGCCTGCGCTGTGACTTGGATGCACCTTGAGGACACTGTGATGAGCAAAGGCAGCCAGACATGAAAGGGCAAGGACGGTGTGATCTAACTCACGTGAGGACCCCAGTCAGTCAAATTCACGGAGACAGAAATGTGGGCGGCAAGCCACCCAGGCGCCGAGGCAAGAGACTGAGGGCACGAGCTGTTCCAGTCTAATAAAATATATAAAATAACAAGAGTTATACTAGATATAGATCATAAATATGGTTATACATGAATATCATTAATCATTAGTTTGTAGCAATTACTCTTTATTCCAGTATTATAATACTCCTCACTCTACAATCATAACCTAGGAAAAACCAGGCCATACAGAGACAGGAGCTGAGGGGACATGGTGAGAAGTGACTAGAAGACCAGAGTGTGAGCCTTCTGTGATGCCCGGGCAGGGCCACCGCAGGGCTCCTTGGTCTAGCGGTAACGCCAGTGTCTGGGAAGAAGCCCGTTGCCAAGTGGACCGTGGTCTAGCGGTAGCATCAGTGTCAAGGAAAAACACCCTCTACTTAGCAGACTGAGAAAGGGAGTCTCCCTTTCCCTGGGGGAGTTCCGAGAAGACTCTACTCCTCCACCTCTTGTGGAGGGCTTGACATCAGTCAGGCCTGCTCGCAGTTCTCCGGAGGCCTAACTGTCTCCCTGAGATGCTGTGCTTCAGTGGTCACGCTCCTAGTCCGCCTTCACGTTCCATCCTGTACACCTGGCTCTACCTTTTAGATAATAGTAGCAAAGTTAGTGAAAGTACTAAAAGTCTCTGATATGCAGAAATAACGGCGTAAGCTGTCTGTCTCTCCTCTCTCTCTCTGCCTCGGCTGCCAGGCAGGGACGGGCTCCCTGTCCGGTGGACATGTGACCCACGTGACCTTACCTATCATTGGAGATGACTCACACTCCTTACCCTGCCCCTTTGTCTTGTATCCAATAAATATCAGCGCAGCCTGGCATTCAGGGCCACTACTGGTCTCTGCATCTTGGTGGTAGTGGTCCCCTGGGCCCAGCTTGCTTTTTCTTTTATCTCTTTGTCGTGTGTCTTTATTTCTACAATCTCTCGTCCCCACATGGGGAGGAAAACCCACCAACCCCATGGAGCTGGACCCTGCAGAGAAAGTAGAAGGGTTTTGGGAGGCCGAGGTGGGCGGATCACCTGAGCTCAGGACTTCGAGACCAGCCTGGCCAACATGGTGAAACCCCATCTCCACTAAAAAGTACAAAAATTAGCCAGGCGTGGTGGCAGGCGCCTGTAGTCCCAGCTGCTCAGGAGGCTGAGGCATGAGAACTGCTTGAACCCCAAGGAAAAGGGTGCAGAGAGCCGAGATCACGCCATTGCACTCCAGCCTGGGCGAAAAGAGAGACTCCAACTCAAAAATAATAATAAATTTTTAAAATTAATAAAAAAAATACAGGCTGGGCACAGTGGCTCATGTCTGTAATCCCAGTACTTTGGGAGGCCAAGGCGAGCAGGTCACCTGAGGTTGGGAGTTTAAGACCACCCTGGCCAACATGGTGAAACCCCGTCTCTACTAAAAAATACAAAACTTAGCTGAGCACGGTGGCAGGTGTCTGTAATCCCAGCTACTCAGGAAGCTAAGGCAGAAGAATTGCTTGAACCCGGAAGGCAGAGGTTGCA